ATGAACTAGGCAGATTTTGAAAGGATAGAGGGTGTAAAGGAGCTAGTTATGCCACATGTCATGATGTCACATGTTACATATTTAAGAAGTACTGCTATGTTCTGTGTATTTCCACTCAAGTTATTTGGCTATCACCTGAAAAAATAAAAAGATTGAGCTACGGTGGAAAAAAAAAGAGCAAGTTTCAGAGTCTCTTCTGACATCCATTTTGGTCTTTTCTTTCTTTCCTGTCTTTTTAATGACCTTTTTCTTTCTTCGTATATGATGTCTTTGATGCCATCCCACAACTTGTCTGGTCTTTGGTCATTAGTGTTCAGTGCATCAAATCTATTCTTGAGATGGTCTGTAAATTCTGGTGGGATATACTCAAGGTCATACTTAGGCTCTCGTGGACTTGTTTTAATTTTCATCAGCTTCAACTTGCCCTTGCATATGAGCAATTGAAGGTTTCTTCCACAGTCGGCCCCTGGCCTTGTTCTGACTGCTGATATTGAGCTTGTCCATTGTGTCTTTCTACAGATTTAGTTGATTTGATTCCCGTATATTCCGTCTGGTGAGGTCCACGTGTATAGTCATTTATGTGGTTGAAAAAAAGGTATTTCCAATGAATAGGTCTTTGGTCTTGAAAAATTCTGCATGCAATCTCCAGCGTTGTTTCTATCAACAAAGCCATATTTTCCAACTACTGATCCTTCTTTTTTGTATCCAAGTTTTGCATTCCAATCACCAGTAATTATCAATGCATCTTGATTGCATGTTTGATCAATTTCAGACTGCAGAAGTTGGGAAAAATCTTCAACCGGTGTCTAAATTTGAATGATAGTCATATTAACTGGTCTTCCTTGTAGGCATATGGATATTATCCTATCACTGACAGTGTTATACTTCTGGATAGATCTTGAAATGTTCTTTTGGGTAATGAATGCTATGCCATTCCTTTTCAATTTGTCTTTCCCAGCATAGTAGACCATATGATTGTCTGATTCAAAATGGCCAATACCACTCCATTTCAGTGTACTAATGCCTAGGGTATCTATCTTCAAGCGTTCCATTTCATTTTTGACAAGCTCTAATTTTCCTAGATTCATGTGTCTTACATTCCACGTTCTGATTATTAATGGATGTTTGCAGCTGTTTCTTCTCATTTTGAGTTGTGCCACATCAGCAAATGAAGGTCCCGAAAGCATTACTCTGTCCCCGTAATTAAGGTCAACTCTACTTTGTGGAGGCAGCTCTTCCCTAGTCGTATTTTGAGTGCCTTCCAACCTGAGGGGCTTAGCTTCCAGCACTATATCAGACAGTGTTTGCTGCCATTCATAAGGTTTTCATTGGCCAATTTTTTAAAGAAGTAGATTGCCAGGTCCCTCTTCCTAGTCTGTCTGAAAGCTTCACTGAAACATGTATACCATGGGTGACCCTGCTGGTATTTGAAATACCATTGGCATAGCTTCCAGCATCCCAGCAGCACACAAGCCACCACAATATGACAAACTGACAGAGAAGTAGTACCTGCTTGGTGTAGATAATTTAAACACAGGAGTGTAAATTCTACCTGTAATAACACCCCCCGAGATAACCACTGTTAACATCTTGCCAGTTTTCTAGTCTTCTATTTGCCTTTATATTTTTCCCACAAAATTATCATACTATATATAAAATTTTATGTCTTCCTTTTTTCACTTAACAGTATATGTGTTACAATATAGTCTTTGAAAGCACACTTTTTATTGCATGTATAATATTCTAGTACATAGTTGCATTTAACCATTTCCCTATTGTTGGACTTTGGGGTTTATTCATTCAACAAATTAATTTTTTTCACTATTATAAATCATGATTCATTTACCATAAATCTTTGACTACATCCAAGACCCATATTGATTTTTTTGAAAATTGAGAGCAGAAAATAGTTATTCGTAAATACATATTCAAAAATATTTATTTTAAGTAAATATCTTAGAATCTAGAATCTAGATGAGGTAAACATTTTAGAATCAACAGCCTTTACATCTGGCTCTGTGACTGAATTTGACATGTTCATGTTACTCTTTGATAAATTGATTTACAACTTCTTGTGTTTCCTAAAGTCAAATTAGTGAACAAACATAGCTCTTGATTCTAAGATGTTTAAAGGAGCCCTAGTGGCACAGTGGTTAAAGCACTCAGCTGCTAACCGAAAGGTCGTTGGTTCGAACCCACCAGCCACTCCGTGGGAGAAAGATGTGGCAGTCTGCTTCCATAAATATTTATAGCCTTGGACACCCTATGGGGCAGTTCTACTCGGTCCTTTATTGTCTCTGTGAGTCGGAATCTAGTCGACAGCAGTGAGTTTGACTTGGTTTAAGATGTTTACCTCATACTACAGTATATCAGCTACAAAGTAATCCATTCATAAGAACTCTAGTAGAACTAAGATGTAGTTTATGAATAAAGGATGGCGCAGGACTGGACAGCATTTTGTTCTGTTGTACATAGCATTGCTAGGAGTTGGAAACAACTTGACAGCACCTAATAACAACAATTGATGAACAGTGTTGGAACTCTAGCCACTTGTATCCATGATACTGGTGTCACCCTTTTTTCTGTATGTATGTGTATAATATAAATGTGATCAGAAGCATGCATATTCATAGATCTTTTAATTTAGATATAAAATTCTAAAAGCCAAAGATGAACTGAAAGGAAATCGATTGAGTATAGAAATGGTCCCCTGTTGATTTCTCAGAGGAGGATGTGTGACCAATAAAACTGAGTGCTATCAGAACTAAGAAAATAAATAGTTAGAACAAAATCAAAAGATACAATTTTAAGAGTTTAGTTGAGACTAACTTGGGGTGAAGAGGAGCTCTGGTTGTGCAGTGGTTAAGCACTTGACTGCTGACCAGAAGGTCGGTGGTTCGAACACACTAGTCATTCTGCGGGAGATAGATGTGGCAGTCCGCTTCCTTAAAGATTTACAGCCTTGGAAACCCTATGGGGCAGTTCTGCTCTGTCCTATAGGGTCACTATGAGTTGGAATCGACTCCACGGCAGTGGGTTTAACTTGGGGTGAGAGATGTTTTGTTTGTGGAAACACGGAGATCACAGTTACTTGGCAATTGCAGGGGACTGTGTAGAGAACATCTTTAGGTAGAATATTAACAGTATTTATTTATTGAATAATCATGATTGCCCTGCCACTAACACTGTAACACTACCATTCTACGTGAGTTCATTATATTTTAATTTTTAATTCTTAGAACTCTGCAAGATAGATCCTATCACCTATTTTTTTAGATGTGGCAGAATTGAAGCTTTCCTCATTAATAATCAAGGAAATGAAAAGTAAATCACAATAAAATTCCATTTCATCTTTATCCCATTAGAATAGCAAAAATCAGAAGTCTGAATGGAGCAAGTGTTGGCAAGGAAATGGACCAATAAGCCCTCCCTCACAGTGCTGTTTAGGGATGTAAATGGGATGGAAAGAAGGGACCAACTTCAATTGTATCTATGATTTTTTTTTTTTTTTTTTTTTTAATGAATATGGCAAAGTGATAAAATTTGAAACAGTACATGTTTTTTATGGCATTTGCATCCTTTCCTGTGTATCTGAAATATTTTCTTTTTAAAAGTATTAAGTCAAGACTCAGCAAAGTTAAATAATTTAGTTAAGGTCTCATAGCTGGAATGATTACCCCAAATGTTCTTTTCAGAATGCTACACTGCTACCCTTAGACTCCTAAGTGATCTCCCCCAAGACTAGTTAGGGCTTCGTTTCCCTGAAGACCAAGAGATTTAGAGGGGGAAAAAGAAACCCTGCTCTTTTGAGAATGAAACTAAGAAGAGGTAGAACTATAGGAACTGAAAACTGAACTCTAATCACATTGCTTATTTACTAAGTTGAATATAGTTGGCATTTGAATTTAGGAAGGTAAAGAACAGTACATGTCAAGTAGGAAATAAAGAGAGGAAAATGTGGCAGAGGAGGAACAAAAGCATAGGAGGTTATTATAGGAAGGTACTAGAAGAATAATATTGGTCTTTTATTAAGTCAAAACCCACCAAACCCATTGCTGTGGAGTTGATTACAACTTATAGCGACCCTATAGGACAGAGTAGAACTGCCCCATAGGGTTTCCAAGGAGTGTCTGGTAGATTCGAACTGCTGACCTTTTGGTTATTAAGTAGGCATAGCAGAAAGTCGGAAGTATTTTGAAATATATAGCATGCCACTATTGTATGAATTCAGTTGATATGAAATAGTAGTTTTGATGTTAAAACTGAATATATATACATATCACAAAGTTTCAGATAAATATTAGTTTCAGGTATAGATTAGAATTCCAGAATAAGACTTTATGTATAGTCAGTCATTTATCCAACAAAATTATTGCACTCTTCATACACGGCAGGCTCTGTGCTAGGTTGTACCCAAAGGAAAGAAACTCTTAGGACCTATGAAAGTGTCTGAATTGAGTATTGAAACATAGTCAGTCTGTGAAACAAGTTCTATTTCTTGTGGTCATTCAGATGCCAGTAATATAACTCATACTATGTGAATTCACCTCCAAAGATTAGCTTTGAATTTTGTTTGGCCATGCAAAATTAAATTTAAAATCAATGATTTGTGGTTTCTTGTTATGTTAAAGGTAAAACTTTAAAGAATTAGTTTTAAAATGAAATTAAATGATTGCTTGTGTTATAGTTTTATTATAACTATTTGTTTAAGAATTTGGGAGGTCCTACAGGAGTTTTATAGTAGTTTTATTTTGAAATGAAGTCAGTAAATTTGTTCAAGTACCACAGAGACGATACCAGTTTGTGTGTATGATCTTTGTTATTCTCCTTGTGGGTGGGATGTACACTTTCTTTTTTTTTTTTTGGGGGGGGGGACGGAGGTTATATCTTATAGCTATATTTGGAGATGTATAATCTAATGCACATCCTGTTTGAGATAACATCATCTTTTTTTCTTAATTACATTTAAGTTATATCCTCTGTCGTCTCTTTTTCAAAAGGTAAAAATAAGTGACTAAAGAAGAATACCTGGGAGTCATCTAACATGTCGAGGAGAAGGTTTGATTGCCGAAGTATCTCTGGCATGCTAACTACGACTCCTCAGACCCCCATGAAATTGGAAAACTTCCATAACTTTTATACACTTACATCTAAAGAGCTAGGAAGGTAAGGAAACGCTATGATTTGTATGCTGTTTAAATTCAGATTTTGTGTTTCTGTTTCGACAGTTGCTACTGCAGAACTCAGTTTGGATCATTATTTAACAATGATTAGAAAGAAAAATCATCTCCTCTATTGTTATTAGATAGCATCTAATCTTAACTGACTTGATAATCAAATTTGTGGAAGTTTTAGTGAGTTTATGTCATATATCCCACCTAGCTTCAGAGCCCCTAATAAGAAGTTAGGGTTCTTATTTGAGGCTGCGCATGGAAAGAGGCAGCATGAACTAACTGTGTGTGACCTCAGTTAAGTTACTGCATCTCTTAGTGCTGGAGTTGTGAGGATTAAACTAGTTAATATTTCTAAAATGCTAGATTTTAATACAGTGCTAGATAAGTTTTTATTAAATGACAATTTTTAAAAATTCCTAGTATAATGTGCTTGGTTAAAAAAAGATATAGGGAAATTCTCCTCTTTTTTCCTAAATTAAGCAAAAATTTGATAGTATCATTCTGTATCATAAAAAATACATGTTTTATGTGTTAAACCCTGTACAAATACTAATCTGTTTTGGCTTAACTAACATGTAAATTCTGTGAGGCCAACGAGTAACCTGATGTTGAGACTTTTTAGGACTACTATTTTTATATGAAAGTTACAGAAGATGCACCAAGTTAATTTAATTATATGATCAGTATCTTTTAAGCTTTAAGTTAGAGGTTTTAATAAAGTATTGGAAAATGGCCATCAGTTTATATTTCCAGTTTGATTTTAGTTCATGAGGTAAATGTTTTGTCTTATGTTAAAATAAGTCCATGTTTGTATTGACAAACGTCCAGTAAAATTGTATGATTGATTTTTATCTTTGAGAATCTCTGTGTGAAAACAAAAATTCACTGAACCATGAAAAGTATTACTGTTCTTAGTGATCTTTTATCTTAAGGATAAAGGCAAGTCCTGGCTTTTTCCCTTGTTAGCTGTTGGTTGTAACTTTTTTTATTTTGCAAAATAAAGATGTTGATAGTATCTACCTCATCAAACTAAGAATTAAATGTAAAAGAATATTGCATTATCCTTGGTATATTTATTTATTTAATTTTATGTGCAAATCATTTAGTTATTTTAATGGTATATTAAGAGATACAGTTTAGAAGTTGATGGTGGTGATGGTTGCACAGCACGGACAATGCGATTAATGTCACTGAATCCTACACTTGAGACTGGTTGAAAACAGCAATTTTTTGTCATATGTATTTTACCACAATTAAAAATAAGTCTCTTTTGAAGAAAAATATATATAGCTTAAAAATCTTTTAGGAAAGATTTTTAAGAAATTGTTTTGTTTTAAATCTGTAATTATTTCCCTTCGCATTATAACAGGAAAGAGTAAGGTTTTCTTTTTTTTTTTTAGTTGCCTATATCTCACATTGAATAGTCATGGAATCTTTGCATTGGAAGGACATCAGTGGTCAGTGGTCTTCTAATATAATTTTTTATACAGTGCAGCAACCTTTTCTGTAATTTCCCTGACAAGCTATTATCCAGCCTTAATCTGAATGCTTCAGTAATGAGGAACTTACTACCTCAGATGATGTCTCTGTTCCATTTTGTGCGCACCCCTTAGGCATAGAAGGTTCTGTTGTCTACTCTGCTAACATCTATCCAATTAACATGGTCCTCTTTTTGTAGCTGCATATAACGTCCATCCATGTGAAAACCCTTCTGATGGTTAATATAGCTAAACATTATGAGTTTCCTTAACTACTCATCATATGACCTGATTTCCAGACAGCCTTCCTTGATCTAGTCTTCTGGACCACTTTGTATTTTTCATTGTCCTTCTTTAAATGGGGGCGTAGAATTGGACACAATTATTGTTAACATGTGACCGTTTCAAATGTAACAAAACTACTACCTCTACTGAAGTAGTCTAAGATTCCACTAGGAGTTTTCTTCCCTTCCCCTGCCCCTCCACCCCCAACAGCCAAGTCAGATTTGTATCATATGGCATTATATAGTATATTAGTAGAAACAGGCTAAGCTGGAAGTCAATTTACCTGTCTTTGCTCTGGATCTAGAGTTGTGTGATCTACTCAGTTGTGTGATTTCTTTAAAATGAGAGGGTGGATTAGATCATCTCCAAGTTTCGTTTTATTGCAAAAATGTTTAGAAACTGCTTTGGGTAGGTAATTGAATATGCAAAGCCTTGAACACAGTGAGGGGCTTTTTTTTTTTTTTTAACTTTTCTGAATCACTGTTTTGATGAGTAAATTTCACATGCCTTTATTAAATTATCTTTCCAAAATAAGGGACGTTATGGGAGCTAGGCAGTGTGTGGAGCCCTTGGGTGGTGTAGACTGAATGTGCTCTACTGCTAACTGAAAGGTGGGAGGTTTGAGTCTAAGCAGAGGCACTTTGGAAGAAAGGCCTGGTGATCTACTTTTGAAAAATCAGCCACTGAAAACCCTATGGAGCAAAGTTCCACTCTGACACACATGGGTTCGCCATGAGTCAGAATTGACTCAATGGAAACTGGTTAACTGATTAGAAAGTATATATACTTTTTCTTTTCTTTGAGGGTTTTGGAGAAATTAAACCTTGAAGAGAACAATATTAAAAATTCTAAATTGTTTAATAAATGAGGTGCCATTATAAATAACAATCAAATTTGAATCAGGTGTACTTTTTTAACATTTTAGAGCAAAAAGTGATGATGGAATTTGATTAAAACAAATTTAGATTGCTAATATTTCATCTTCTAATATTTTCATGAAAAAGACTTAACATTTTTCTTTTAATCGCTTTGGGCTAATGAGTCACATGGTAAACATTGATATATTTAATTAGTAAACCTTGATAAATTAGAAATCATGACATTTCATCTGTTAAGATCCTTGAATTTCTTTCAATATTGTTACTAATTTTAATATCCTATAATTTTATGAAATAGAAATTAGTAACATAATCTTGTTTCTCCTGAGGCTTGCAATTTTGAAGTATATAGACATAATTCTAGCATGTGGTGAACTAGAGTTTCATCTTTCTAAATCAACTGTTTTTTTTTTTTTTTTAATTAATTTTAAGAACAGTGTTCAGGAATTTATAAACAGCAAACTAAAGGAAAATATACAAAAGTTAGAAGTTCATTTTTGACTATTCTCAAACAACTTGTATTGTTCCTGTTTTTTAGCATGTTGGGTAAGTTTTTTCCACCCCTCCCCTAACTGAGGCAAAGTTTCATAGGACTTCTTGTGGTTAGAAGCGTAAGGCAGATTCAGAAATAAATGTCAGCTTCCTTTGTGGCTTACCCTCCCCCTCCCCTTTCACATTTTATTGTGCATTCTAGAATGCAGAACTGTAACTACTAGAGCTTTTCACCGCTGGGAAATCTAGTCAGCCTTTTTAGGGCATGAATTAAGTATTACTGTTAAGGATTTTAAGTTTCCTTGAATTTTTCTATTAAATTTGGCACAGGAACATACATATTAAAGATTGTATATTTTGGATAGTTCTGCATTTTAAAATAGAAAAAAAACCTGTTTTGTCTAAGTCATCTGATAATTATATTAAAAATATGTGCCTTTTTTAACGGCATATTAGTGAATATGTGTATGTGTATAGTTCTACTGGAATCTCAAATCAGCTTTAAAAAATACAAATGCTTTTAGTATACAAAATAGCACAGGGTATGGTATTATAGTAGGTATAACCCTTGCATTCATTCAACAGGTATTTGCATTCATTCAATAGATAACTACACTGTGTTAGTACAGTGTAGGTTTTATAGTTACTGTAGTACTTAGGACAAACATGGTCCCTGCCCTCATGGAGCTTTTACTTGTGGTGAGCATTAGCAAATAATTGCCAGTATCCTTTGGTCACCTTTACTCTTGATTAATGAGTACAATACTTGTTTAAGAAAGCCTCTTGAGAATACCTGAAACAATTAGATAGAAAGTGTTATTTAATTTTGGTTCTTTGTTTCTGAGAGAATTCTGGCTTAGTTATAAGATTATAGCAGAAGTAAATTGTCACAACTGATACTATAAACTATATTTTTTCAAATGCATAATTTTCTTGGCCAACTAGTTTTTATTTCATAAATTTTTACAAGGTGGATTTCTTTATAAAACTTACTTTTCATGCCTGTTTTAGACTCATTTTTTGCTTCTATACCTAAATAAGAATTGGCAGAAGCAAGTGAGTTGAACTTCTTAAAAATAATAATTTAAAAGGAAGAAATTGTTTTGTAGTGGTTAGAACAGAAAGCTAGGAATTCACATTCATAGTTTAATTCTTGGCACTCTAATTCCATATATGACCTTTCATGAGTTATTTAAATCTCATTCTGTCTCAGTTTATCCAGTATAACATTTATAAAACATGGGTCATTTTAATATAAAGGAATTGATGTACATTTTTGTGTGTTCATTGAAATGTATCAATTTGTATTTTGCATAAAGTGAGATAATATTTTATAGTTAAATATTCTCCAATCTTAAAAGTGCTTTCAAATAATTAGGTTTGTAAATGTAAATTTATTTAGTTGATGTATATCTTAATAAATGTAGATGAGTCAAATTATACCTTAGTCACTTTTTTTTTTTGCATTAGTAGCTATATTTTTTGAGCTCAGTTTCCAGTGTTTTTCACTGAAACCAAGTTTGAGAAAAATTGATTTTTCCTCAAATAAGTTGGCATCAAGTGTTTTATCTTCAATGTCACTAATTCTAACTTCTACTGCCTCAGTTCTGCTCCTATGACTTTCTGTTGAGTTGTCTAATTCTGAAATTTTATTGTTAATCTTCTGGATTTCTGATTGCTGTCTCTATGGATTCTTGCAGCCTATTACATTTGTCATTATGTTCTTGAATAACTTTTTTAAGTTCCGCTACTACTTTGTCTCTATGTTCCCTGGACGTTTCTGCATTTGGTAGAATTTCCTTTCTAATTTCTAGAAGAGTTCTGTATATTAATGTTTTGTATTCTGTCTCTGGTAATTCCAAGAAATTCTCTTCCTCCAGAGAATTTATTGATTCTTATTTTGGGAGCTTGCTGAAGCCATCATGGACTGCTTGTTTATGTGGTTTGATATTGACTGTAGTCTCCGAGCCATCAATAGGTTATTATAATTTTATATTTGTTTAGTGAGTCCTAGCTTCTTGTCTTGTTTTGTTTTGATATGCCCCAACAGGCTGCTCGTGTGTGCTAGTTTAATTATTGGCACCTTTGAAACTCTAACGTCCTGTCACCAGGTAGTTAGTTTTGTAACTAAGTATGTGCACACAGGAATCCATTAAATTTTCCTATATGGGTTCAGCTCAGGTGTCCAGGCAGTTGGTCACCAAGTGTGTGGTGCAGGCTCTCACCTACAGTCCTAGAGAGGCATGGGTGATTGGTGCAGGCACTGGACTCTGGCTGTGGTAGGTGATCACTTGCTGAGCCAGGCATGGGGCTGATGGCTGCCCCTGAGAGTCTGAAAGGAAAGTGTGTCCCTATTCCCTAGGGCAAGTAGGTAGGTGAGCTTTGCTGGCGGACTATGAGCACCCCACTCTGTTGGCTGTAAAGACTTGAGGGTACCCCTTTTTCTTGGACTCCCGTAGCAGGTGACTAGGTGGTTTAGGTGACGTCACCAGTCCTCAAGCCCCTGTTGCGGATTGGTAAAAAGTGCCTACTTAAGGGGCAGAGCTGTTTCGAGGGTCACAAATCTGCCACTTCACAGCTGAAACAGTTGAAGTTAAACTTCAGATATTTGCCCTGTTGTACTGTGGTAGTGAGGGCTAACGCTGTTGAGATGGGTCCCCACAAGTCTATACAGGGGTGTAAGGCACTCAAAGTCTGTGGACCCCTTATGCCTGTGCCTAGAAAAGGAGCTGCGCTGACCCTGAGTTCTTTGCTTAGGGGAGCCAGTAGCTTATTTGTTCAAGCCCAGAAGAATGGGTCAGGGTGCCTTTTGGGATCTACTACTGGCCCAGCGGACTCCTGGTGCAGAGCGGGGAGGGAGGAGGTAAAAGAGAAAGAGGTTTTTCCCAAATGGTCTTTTTTTTTTTTTAAATCCCTGCGAAAGGCCGCATGCATGTACTTATCTTTAGCCACTTGGGAGCTGCTTTTCACTGGTTCGGAATGTCCAAGCAGAATCTCTGCTGCCGGATCTCTCTCGATATGGAAACTGCTTCCCGAGCACACGCACAGCTGTTTTCCTGCTTCACTGTGGACCTGGCGTGGCTGAAGAGCTACGGTCCCGCCGCCACCGCTCTGGTGCTGCTGGCTTCTTCTGAACCGTTTCCCTCTCCTGCCGCCACTCAGTCCAATTCCTCAACCTTGCCTTGTTCAGGGCTCCTAGACATTCATATATAATCAAATCACTTGTTTTTCCAGGTCTTTGTTGTAAGAGGGATATAGGAAGCATCTGACTACACTGCCATCTTGGCCCTGCCTCTAAGTTTGAGAAATAAAAAGCAGGAATCTTGGTCATCTTGGCCCTTGGGAATAGCAGAATTCAGTCAAGCAATTTATTTTGCTAATTTATCTCCTTCATCCCCCATGAATACCAAGTACATTAAAAATTATTTTCCTGATATGCTGGGATAGAAGTATATTCTTAGAGAGATTGGGGCAAGAGGGTTGTGGAACAAAAATTACTCTTTGAACATCCTTTATTTAACCTGATTTGTTAGAACCAGAAACTGGAGAGTAGTTTGAGCCTTTTAGCCTTAGGATAATAAAGTTCATGCATAGTTTTAAAAATCTGAAAACCTTCTGGAATATGTACAACTTCCTATTTAAGGGCATGTATACATTTTTCTGGGGAGGCAATCAGTAACTTTTATTAGTTTCTCAAAATAGTCAAACTAAAAATAGCTTTAAGTGTTTGGGATAACAGATTTTGGGTGATTGTAGACTTGGAATACAAAATTTGTCAATACAAACTGTAATTCTAAGTGTCTTTAAAAAAAAAAAAAGGCTGAGGTATTGAAGAGTCTATCAAAGAAACTAAAGACATACTTATTCCTAAAATGGTAAACATAACCTTAGTGGGTGTGTTTACACATAATTGTTGATAAGCATTTATTTTCTTAGTTGATCATGAAGTATCTTTGAATATTCTCCATAGGACACATATATCTTTGGTATCTACTACAAGCCTCATAAATTCTGAGCAGTACTAAGAGATATACTGAACGACTAAGGAATTGTGATAAAAGTTGAAAGCTCAATAAAAGTGGTTCTGAAACATAAAGTGATTATGTTAATAAAATAAGTCAAATACCCATTTCTGCGTTAATTTTATTTTATTTTTATATCGGGGAAGGCTATTTTTATTAGAGAGTTAATGTGACACCCTGTGAAGATTATAGTCTTTGGAAATAGACCCAATTTTCAGTCTTTACATTGGCCAAGTTGCATATCTTCTCTGGAGTTTGCAAAACAAAGAGAATAGTATTTTATATATATAGGATTCTTTTGATTTTCAAATGCAATACTTTATGAAGAGTATGGCATGGAGTTAGCATGTAAATAAGATTCCCCCCTGCAATGATAATAGCATCATATCATTGAGGAGCTAATAAAATTCTGTGTCTTATCCTCTTATTACAGTTTGCCATTTATATTTTTTATGTGACAGTACTATAATTTCTGTAGAAGTACATACAATATTTGATTTAGTTTTTTCTACAGAAAAGTTAAAATTGATTTTCCTTATTTTTCCCTCCAGAGGAAAATTTGCTGTGGTTAGACAATGTATATCAAAATCTACTGGCCAAGAATATGCTGCAAAATTTCTGAAAAAGAGAAGAAGAGGACAAGATTGTCGAGCAGAGATTCTACATGAGATCGCTGTACTTGAATTGGCAAAGTCCTGTCCCCACGTGATTAATCTTCATGAAGTCTATGAAAACACAAATGAAATCATTTTGATATTAGAATAGTAAGTATACATTTTAGCAAATTTAAGTATATTTATGGTACCTATTTTGATCAGTAGGGTAAGCTGCCTTTTGAAACATCAAGAGTAAGAATGATAAAATTATGATAAGAACTTGTACAGATTCCTATTGATATAATATTAAAAGAACATAATTTATGTTAAAATATTTTCACAAGGCTAAATGTACACCCTCACACAAATATAAAAATTTTTAAGTACTAATTAAACAGCACAACATAAATGAATGACATGCAATGTTTGGGGAATGTGGAGAAATGAGTATACTCTTATTTTGCTAATGGCATGGAAAATTGGTTGAGTTTCTGGAAAACAATCTGATGGGCAAATAGAATTGAAATCGTTTGTATATTTTGGCCATCTATTTGAAAAACACCTTTAAGGAAATGACCTGAGGAGTATAGAAAGGTAAACTGCATAAAGGTGCGCCTAGCACATTGTTGGTTAAAGAAACACATGTAGTTAGTATGTGTGTACGCAAAACACAGTATTAGAAATTATAGCAATAAGAAATAAAACATACCCTTCCCACAAGTCAGTGAAAAATTGAAAACACCTAAATATTCAGCAACTCGTCTGATATGGGTAGACGATGGTTAAGTACATTTCCTAGAACACTGAGACACCATATTAAAGCATTTTTTAGCACCCTCAAATAAATCAGAATTACAGGAAAAGCCAGGATACTACCAATATGATTTCATTTTTCATACATTTTGTGATTATTTTTGTGAAGGATTCTTCATCTGACCTTAAAAAAGTTGTCTACTTGCATGACATCTGAATGTTTGAAGTACATAAACATTAGCTAACATTTTTTAAAAACAGTAACGGAATACTTGATTTGGCGGACAAATATACATAGGAACATTGACCACTTTCATAAAAACCTCTTTTAGGAATTTATCTAAACAGCAACAACAAAATACATCAAACAAATATAACACATTTTATGGATGGACCTTACTCACACTCTGAAATTGATTCAGGTACCCTGCCCAGCAAACTGAGTTCTGTGAGGGCAGGGCTGTGATGAATCTCTGTACCTCATGGCTGAAATGTAGCAGACACTGAGAAAATGTTTGAATGGATTAGTATATTTAATTTCTTACTAGAGCAACTGAGACTAAAATTTAATGCTAGGTCTTTTGTTTAATTATCACTTTTGCGATGGCATTGCCACGTCACACATATCAATCAAAGGCAAAAACTTGGTTAGACAGGTGACATATCTTTATATGGGGAAAATATAGTGGTGGAATCTTTTACTCTAATAACTATTACCAACTTGGTCCCCTCCCCAACCATGTATGTACTCATTTTTCTCCCTTGAATTTAATTTTGCAAAATTTCAGAAAGAGTAATTAACACCTTATACCCTTCACCTTGATTCACCAGTTGTTGACCTTTTGCACGTTTATTGAACCATTTGAAAGTAAGCTGTAGGTATCATGAAAATTTCCCTTTGCATGCTGAAATATTTATTTCTAAGAATAAGGGCATTTTCCTACATAACTATCACCGCAATTAAACCTAAAAGGTTAACAATAATTCCATGATATCATCTAATATACAGTCTATGTTTAAATTTCTTTGATTATCCCCAAATGTCTTATAGTCCTTTTTTTTCCTCTTTTGTTACAAGGTCCAATTAAGATTCACAGGTTGTACTTGGTTGTTAAGCTTTTTTAGTCAGTCTTTGTTTTGTTTTTTCATGACATTGACTTTTTGGGGGGAAGATCTATGCCAGTTGTCCTGTAAGATATCTCACATCCTGGCCTGATTGTTTCCTCTTGATTAGATTTAGGTTAAACATTTTTGGCAAGAAAACAGTGTGAATGACGATGTGTATTTCTTATTGCGTCAAATCAGCTGGCAATAATATCAGGTTGTTCCATTACTGTGAGCCCCAGTGGCACAGTGGTTAAAGCTCTCAGCTGCTAACCAAAAGGTCAGTGGTTCGAACCCACCAGCTGCTCAGTGGGCGAGAGATGTGGCTGTCTGCTTCCATAAAGATTTACAGCCTTGGAAACCCTATGGGGCAGTTCTCCTCTGTCCTATAGGGTCACTATAAGTCAGAATTGACTCGATGGCAGTAGGTTTAGTTTGGTTTGGTTCCATTACTGGTTTTGCCAAGTTTCAACATGGTTAAGGTAGTATTTGCCAGCTCTCTCCATTGTAAAGGAGCATTTTTCTGTTTGTAATTAGAAGTAATCTGTGTAGTGATATTTTGAATCCATGTGAAAATTCTCTAACAACTTTTTGTCCAGTGATTTCAGTAACCATTGATGATACTTGGCTGAATTAGTGATTACAATGGATGTTAAAAAAAAAATGGTGATTTTCTAATTCTTTTATTCCCTCCGGAGTCCCTGGGTGGTGCAAACATTTAGCGCTCAGCTGCTCACCGAAAGGTTGGAGGTTGGAGTCTACCCAGAGGCACCTTGAAAGAAAGGCTTAGCAATCTAATTCCAAAAAATCTGCTGTTGAAAACCCTATGAAGCACAGTTCTATACTGACATAAATGGGGTCATCATGAGTCATAGCCAACTTGTCGGTAACTGATTATTATTCCTTCTAATAAGCTGGTATTCTGTAAAGAGGAGCTCCCTTCTTTTTCTTTCCGTGTTCAAAATTTCACTATGGATTCATGGTTTTGTTTTGTTTCTTAATTGATGGGTTATAATCAGTTTCTGTCATTTTTTATGCTCAAGTTGTTCCCAGTTTAGCCAGTAGTGCTCTTTCAAGCTACTTCCTGTGTCCTTCTGAAATGACCTCAGTAGTCTTTAAGGACTTCCTTGCTTTATGGCACAATATTTCCAGGCTCACCTTGTATTTTCCCTGCTCTGAACCTGTAATCCTGGTGGCATAGTGGTTAAGAGCTATGGCTGCTAACCAAAAAGATCAGCAGGCACTTCTTGGAAACTCTATGGGGCAGTTCTACTCTGTCCTATAGGGTTGCTATGAGTTGGAATCGACTCGACGGCAACAGGTTTGGTTTTTGGTTTGGACCTGTAATCAGTCATCTCTCCAAAAGTTCTGACTCCTTTTAGTGGAGAATGTTTTAGAAACCAAGATCTGGATGCTGGCCTCTAGACCTTTTCCAAGAATTAGCACTAGGAAATAATGTTTTTAAAAATCATGATTTTATTGTGATAACCCGATTCAAATCTGCCACCACAAGGCTCTTTATCATCTTCTTTTATTCCACATCTGCAATTTCTGTTCTCCCACAGTGAAAACCCTAGTTTCCAACAGTAGCAATATATTTACTCATTTGCTCTATCCTACAATATATACAGAATAGTTTCAGCATAATAATACTAATACTACAACCAACAACAAACTAGTAAAGTTCAGCATCTCTCTGCTGCTCTTTTTGTCCTTAGAATGTAGTCCACTAAGGGTGTATAGTCAGTTATATAGTTAGGTACAGCTGTTTATGTTTGTATTCAGTCTTATGATATGATTTTTTTAATCCTTTTTAAATTATAAAAGATTTATGTGATTCAAAACATAAAAATACATAAAAGGTATGCATATACACATATTATTCATATTATTGAATTATTGTTAACCTTTTAGGTTTAATACTGGTGATGGTTATATTAGGAAAATGCCCTTATTCTTAGAAATAAATACTTCAGCATGCAAAGGAAAAGGATCATGATACCTACAGCTTATTTCAAATGGTTCAGAAAATGTGGCAAAATGTCAAAAACTGGTGAATCAAGGTGAACGGTATAACGGTGTTAATTATACCATTCTTTCAGCTTCTCTGTAGATTTGAAATTTTGCATAAGATTCTGTTTTGAGAGGATTCATTTAAGCCTACATAATGTAACCAGAAAGGGAAGGAGTGAGGGTGCCACTGCCAGCCTGTGCTGTGGAGCTCCCACACTTCCCTCAGGAAACCTTGAGAAGGTGTGACAGTAAACATCTGACATGCTGACCACTGGGGAAGTCTGTATGTTAACTATTCATAGAGATTAATTCACTTCTTCTTTAGATTAAAACTGAGTAAAACTAATGTGGATTTCTAATACTATCTTTCTATACCTTAGTTTGGAGTTCACTATTAAAAATTTAATAGTAAACTAAATTTTTCATACTCAGATCAGTTGTCTTTACCATAGGACTGCAAGACAGATACTGACGTTAATTTATTATGAATTTCCAGGTTGTTGAGAATGGGTAGGAGGGTGGAAGTGAAATCTATGTGATCAGAGCTTTCACCTTATCCTTTACCAGCTTTCCCACAGAGTTTTCTCTGGAAAGTCATAAGCCAAAGTGTAAAGCAGCAAATCCCTGTGGCCTCTAACTGGCATACTGTCAGATGGCTAGATTACAAGTTGCATCTGCACTATGAAGTGTCAGCCCTTGTGACTTTGAATTTGGGACACAAATTTGAGACCACCATTGATTATTGCTTTCTTTTCATGGCTCTTAAAATATGACATGCAGCCACCAAAACTTCTGAATCTCAGTTTCAGCCACTCTGATGAATGACCGTATGTATAATCCATCATTCATTTATTCAGCAAACAGTTACTGAACACCTACTACATGCCAGAACATTGTTCTTAGGGCCGAGGGTACAGTAGTGAACCAAGTAAATAAAAGGAACGGTGTTTTCTAGAGCGAGTGAGTTTTTATTTTATCACAAAGACTTTGTTTTACTTGAGACATTTCCAAACATACTGTATTAATTTGATAACCATTTAGATTTTTTTTCATCTTATGATTACTAACACATTTTATCTTATTTATTTAGATTTAGCCCTCAAAAAAAAAAAAAAAGTTCAGTGATAGCTCCATTTTTATAGAGGGGGAAAATCAACTTAAGTGACTAACCCTAAATTATATTGCTGATAAATAGCAGAGTTAGGATTTAAATTCAGATCATTTGTTTCCAAACCTAGGGATTTTTTACTTTGTCTTTATCAACATTCTTCAGGTTTTTAATTATTTAAAAAAAAAAAAAAAAGTTAGGTTCTGACCTATTCTGTGTGAAGCTGCGATACAATATATCGGGTCAAGGATGCAGACTCTCATTATGCAGATTCACATTCTGACATCACCACTCCCTCACCGTGTCCTGTTTATTGTGTGACCTTGTGCAAGTTGCTTAGCATCTTTGTACTTGTATTGCTTATCTGTAAAAATGGGAATGATAACTGCCTACCTCACATGGTTGTCATGAGGATCAAAGTAGATGATATTCATATAAAAACACATATATGTATATATACATGTGTGTATGTGTATATATACATATATATATGAAGGCAGATCAGAGCTGAGCTCAGTGTTAATTATTGTATTATTTTTAATGCAGTGTTACAGTAGATTATAAAATATTATTGAATTATAAAGCTATTCAATTTTATTTATTAATTATTCAGTTATTAGTACCCAGAATTTAAAATATTTTTGTCATTTATTTGCCTCCTTAAAGATCCTTCCTCTTTCCCTCACCCCCTAGTCCTTAAGTATATGTAGTGACTAAAGTTTGAATGGCTGCATGTCTTTTACTTAACAGATATACGGTATTTAAGAGTTGTCATTTCTACGTTAATGATTTTTCAAGTGTCTATTATTTAAATTTTGTTTCAGTGCTGCAGGTGGCGAAATTTTCAATCTGTGTTTACCTGAGCTAGCTGAAATGGTTTCTGAAAATGATGTTATCAAACTCATTAAGCAAATACTTGAAGGAGTTTATTATCTACATCAGAATAACATTGTACACCTTGATTTAAAGGTAATGTAACATGTGAGTTTAAGTAACGTGACCTCTGTGTTTCTCCTTTGTTCTTGGTATGCACAGTTGCAAGCTGGTATTGATAGGAAACAACAGTCTGATCATGGTCGCCTAGACTGCATTGGGTGTGCTCTTTGCTTACCTATGAGCTACATGGCCTTAGTTTTGTATTGGCAGAGAGACAACTGCATGTATAAGCAGTTCAGTTTAATCACTGGGCTCTTAAAATCTTTATTTCTATATGTTCTAATAATACAGTCATTCCACTTTATCCCTTTCTTACAGCCACATCCTGTACCTTCTTATCTTAGAAAACTGTCTACCTCTGAAATACTCAATTCTGATCTCCATCTTTGAAGATAACCTCCTACTAGTCCTCATTCCTTTGCTGTCATTATACTCATTCACCTTCTCTTGAGGCTTTTAGTCTTTTGGCTCTTCCTTTTTTCCCCAGACCATTTAGGCCCCTAAACTAACACTAAAGCCTCTCATGTTATTACCCTTTCTCCTTACTTTTCCTCCACAGCCACACAAGGACCTTAAAATACGGATCAATCTAATTGTCTTTTATTTCTTTGGATATTGGACCCTTCTCTTCTTATACAGTCTCCCTGCATGATCCTATGGCTTCCACTGCTATTTTCGTAATAATGACTTCCAAATCTCTACCTATATCCTAGGTCTCTCTTCTGAATTCCAGATCCTTTTTTCCAACTTCAGATTAGATATCATTTAGATGCCTTGTAAAACAAAACAGAACAAAACAAAACCCACTGCCGTTGAGTCTATTCCAACTCATAGCAACCCTATAGGACAAGTAGAACTGCTCCATAGGGTCTCCAAAGCTGTAAATCTTTGCAGAAGCAGACTGCCACATCTGTCTCCCACAGATTTCCTGTAGAAACTATAAAATTTATGTCTCAAATTGAACTTACCATCTTTCCCTCTTTTTCTTCCACCTTTTTTAAAAGAAAAAAAACAAAAAAAACTTCTTCTGTGTTGGGCTAACAGTAAATGGGAAGGAGGGGTATTTACCATCTAGCATGACTGCCATTTCTCTGACTGATAAGGTATTGGAAGAGAAACAATGTGGTAAATATCAGGATAATCATGCCCTCACCTGCTTCTTATTGGGTCTTTTTCATGCTAAAGACAAACCAAGTAGATTACATAGCATCACACAGCACTTGAAATCAGGAGTGGCATATAAACCTGGCTTTATATACCATAGGAAACCTTAGTGGCGTAGTGGTTAAGTGCTATGACTGCTAACCAAAATGTTGGCAGTTTGAATCCACCAGGCACTCCTTGGAAACTCTATGGGGCAGTTCTACTCTGTCCTGTAGGGTCACTAAGAGTCAGTATCAACCCGACGGCAATGGGTTTGGTTTTTTGGTTATTCTCCTATAATGGTCTCTGTGATTTGACAGTAAATGAGCGTGGGCTTTTCTCAAAGTTAAGAGACTGTTAATGATTCTTCTTACAGACTTTAGGAGCAGCACCTCAGCTGGTGTATGGGGTATGACAGCAGCAGGGAGTTTTGTAATAGACCTTAGGTATGCAATACTAAAGCAGAGTCCATGATCTAGAAGGCAGTGGACGAAACCTACCGTGCACCTTGTTGTCTAAGTGAGAAACCTAAGGAACAATCAGACCCAACTCATCCAGAACCATCACACTGTACTGAACTATTTTCTGTTTCTGGAAATGTATGCATTTTCATTCCTTCATGCCTTCTTTCGTGCTATTCCCCAGAGCACCTTTCTAACTGGCATACTCCTTCTTATCATTTTAAGACTCGGCTTAAGCATCATCTCTACCGAAAAACCTTGGACCTTCTTATGGGCAGAATTCAGTAGTCTTTTTTTTATTACTGAGTATTATCTACTTACCTATCTATCTGTCTGTCTATCTCACTAAGTGACTTTTTCTTCTGAACTAAAGATCTCTTTAAGTGTATATTTAGCCTTATTTATCATTGGATACATAAAAAACAAAAAAACCCAAACCTGTTGCCATCGAGTTGATTCCGACTCATAGTAACCCTATAGGACAGAGTAGAACTGCTCCATAGGGTTTCCAGGGAGTGACTGGTGGATTTGAACTGCTGACCTTTTGGTTTGCAGCCAGGCTCTTAACCACTGTGGCATGAGGGCTCCTATTGGATGTGTACTTCTTCCTAAATAGTAGTTCAGTAAATATTTGATAAGTGACTCAATGCAATATATAATAGGTAAACAATAAATTCCATTTATCACTGATCTCAGACTAGTATTATTTTATTGTATATTACTTATCATTTTTTGTTATGCTTTGTTTAGCCACAAAATATATTGTTGAGCAGTATATATCCTCTTGGAGACATAAAAATTGTAGATTTTGGAATGTCTCGAAAAATAGGGAATGCATGTGAACTTCGGGAAATCATGGGAACTCCAGAATACTTAGGTAAGAATTTCCTTTTACTTTTTACCCCATTTTTGAAATTTATTAAGTAAATAATACCTTTATAAAACAATATTTTAGAGCATGTAATTCCAGGATACATTTGGTTCAAATATTTAAATGCATTGAAAGTTGGTTTTGACACCTTTAAATAGACTATGGTGAGTGTAGGGTTATTTAGACTTTAAAACAGTTCACAAGACATTGAATATATAAGTGCAAAAGTTTGATTTTTGTGCTCAAAGCCTTTATACATAAAGAAAAAGAAATGGGTAAAAGGAGATAGGAAGTTAGAAAAAAAGAAAAATGGAAAAAAAAATGTACACAAACTGAGAAAATCCAGTGACCCATTATTGCCCTTGAAACCTGGCTGTTGGATAGACCCCACTTCTACTTCTGTTCTGGCCCCAGATCCAAAGCTGTTTATAATACAAAGATTTTCTGCTTGGCAGGAGTCATTAGAAGTACTCCTTGCTGTTTGCAGCTGCTGCTTTACAGTGTGAGGATTTGTTTAAAGTTATGAAAGGATAGTTTTGAAGAAGGGTGCCAGAAAGAGCTATGATTATGTGATTTAGAAATATTATACTAAATTAATCAACTGCGACTAGGTATATGAAAGATCTTTGAGTTGTATGAAGCAGCATACAAATTTAAAGTCTTTTAATTAATATTAATAATCTTTGTACCTTTTTGGTTGTTGCTCAGGTTGATAAGCCTATGCAGGCACTGAAAAGATACAGCTAAATAGAACAGATGCCACTCAGCTAGGCAGTTGACTTTCCCAAAAATGAAAAACAAAGAAAATTGCTAACTTTTGAATGCTAATAGGGGCTGTCATGTCCTAGAATAAATTATTATAATTATACATAATACAGCTCAGAAAAATATGTGGAAGATTATAGGTGGCTGACAATATATGATATGACTCAAAGGCTTTATTAATAAAAATGTTAGGCTTTAGAAAACAGTTTATCTTTGGACAAATTATGAAATCATATTGTGAAATAAGAAAGTTATTATTCAATCATAAATCCTAGTTCAGACTTTACTAATTTTAAATGTATGATAATGTTTAGAGAATATAGAGAATTTATTTTGCACTTCTTATTCCTGGCAGATGAAGAGACACAGGGAATTAATTCCTTTGGAAATTGGGTTTTTGATAGTTTAAGAGGGATATTTAATTTGCTTGAAAGTCTAAAGCATTTCCAAGAAGTATAATTTGCTCATAATGTCATTGTAAGTGCATGTGATCCTACTTACACTGAAAAAAAAAACCAAAAACTTAAATCAGTCTAATAAAATAATGCAGACTAATTAGTAAAAGGTAATAAACTTTTTAAAATATTCTAGCTTCTAATATTTTGCTTCTCCATAATGAGTTTGCTTTTTTTTTTTTAACTACATATATACCTGTTACTCCAAGAATATTATGGATGCTTTTTAAACCATCCAGTCATATAATTTGCTTAATATTACTTATGTTTAAATGTTCAATCACAGGAAAATTAATACTGTGCTGAATTTCTACTCATCTTATACCACTGGGTTTTCCAAAATTGAATCCAATTCTAATTTAATATAGTTTTCATGTTTTTAAATTTGTCAGTATTGAATTTGTGTTTTATTTTTTCTTTCAGCTCCAGAAATCCTGAACTATGATCCCATTACCACAGCAACGGATATGTGGTAAGATTTTGTTAGTTACCTAAACGCCTTTATTAAAAGTTGGGCAATGTATATTCTGGAGTCCTTGGGTGGTGCAGTGTGCTTGGTTGAAGTCCCAGTGGTACTTTGGAAGAAAAGCTTGGCTATCTACTTTTGAAAAATGAGTCATAAAAGCCCTACGGAGCACGGTTGTACTCTGACACACATGGAGTCACTGTGAATTGGAATCATCTTGATGGCAACTGGTTTGATGTATACTCTGAGGTTCTTTGATTCCAAATGTAAATAATAAAGCCTTCTTTAAAAGATTATACTCAAGTATCGTTATTATGCCACAGGAAAACATTTACCTATTCTTTTTAAGTAACACCCTGGCTCTGAGCTAAAGGTTCAGCAATAAATAGAAAAATCCTTTTCCTCAAGGAAGACTCAGTCTAGTAAAAGAACAAAATAGTCGTCATACAGAGCTAGATGTTCTCTTGTTGTTGTTGTTGTTAGGTGCTGTTTTGTTGATACTGACTCACAGTGACCCTCTGATAAAAGTAAAATGCTTAATAAGTATGGAGGAAGCCGCAGTCAAGAAGTCATTGTTAGGTGTCATCAGATGGGAGACATCTGATTTAAGTCAAGAAGAACTAGAAAGATATTTGCTAAACAGAAAAATGAAGTCAGACCAACACAAAAGTTTAGTTTTATGAGAGTACCTCTCTAGGGAATTGTGAGTTTTTGTGGCTAGCACATAGAGTATATGATAGAGAATAGAAGCAGAATTGATACTGAAAGTTTAGTTGCGACCAGATTGGGGGACTGACCCACAGGCCAAGTGGAAGAGTTTGACTTATTCCCTGTGTTCCTTAAAAACGTTAATGGGTTTGCCATGGAAAAAGGGCCCTGTGATTAAATAAATGGGTGAGACATGTACTGTATTGTCTTTTTCTGGTCCCTTAGCACCAGACTTGTCATGAACATATTTAAGGTTCTGATAAGTTTTGCAGTGAAATTCTACCTGCCCAACTTTGTGCTTTATCTAATTTGCAGACCCTAGGGTCCCTATGAGTCAGAATGACCTCTACGGCAACAGGTTTGATTTTGGTTTATTTGCCCATAAGACCTATTACATTTTGCAGATCATTACTGTGCCCTTAGGCATTGTTTGGGAAATGCTGCTCCTTGAGCGACTTTTCGTCTTGGCAGCTGGTGTCAGTGTGAAGGGCAACTTGTAGATATAATGACATAGATTTAATACATTATGTTTTTTATATAATTGTATAACACACATGGCATTCCCCTGGTTGTATTCTCTTTCTGTGAGGCAAACTTTGAGGCCACACAGTTATTTTAGTTTTAAATAATATGGGAACTTTTAACAGAAATTTACATCTGTAATTTAATTGTACAAGTCTTGAGGACAGGAATATGTAGAGTATTGGTTAAACTTTGTATAAGTCTTTTAAGAGTAACACAATTTTTAACTCCCTTCTTCTCAATTGTTTTTCAGGAATATTGGTATTATAGCATATATGTTGTTAACTCATACATCCCCATTTGTGGGAGAAGATAATCAAGAAACATACCTCAATATTTCTCAAGTTAATGTAGATTATTCAGAAGAAACTTTTTCATCAGTTTCACAACTGGCCACAGACTTTATCCAGAGCCTTTTAGTAAAAAATCCGGAGTAAGTAACAATATTAATTTATTTAAATACTATTATAAAATAAATAAGTCTATTAAGAAAGATAAATTCTGAAATAATATAAAATTATTAGAAGTATGCTTTAAGGTTTCAGGTAAAATGGGAGAGAAATGGTTTGAAAGATCATTAAATAGTAAATATGTAACTGCAAACACAAAATATATAACAGGAAATAGTGGAGTAAAGAGAAAATTTGGGTTCTCTCTGCCACTAATCCCTGAAATTCCCTAAAATAATTAGAAGTAAAAGGTTTATTATACACATGACTGGTTATGATAATACTTTATTGTGTATGATAGTAGTTAAATAACTATAGTTATGTAATAAACCAAAAAAAATTAAACCTGTTGCCGTTGAGTAGATTCTGACTCATAGTGACGCTATAGTTATGTTATAAAACAAAAAAACCAAACCTGTTGCCGTCGAGTTGCTTACGACTCATAGTGACCCTATAGGACAGAGTAGAACTACACTATAGGGATTCCAAGGAGCAGCTGGTGGATTCAGCCCATAAATTACCGATTATCATATCTTTAAGGATCAGATGCCCTTTGACAACGTACTAAAGAAGGGACTTGAAGCCATGGCTTAGGACTCTTATCTCACTCACTGGCAACTTCAAGGCAAGAACAGAAAAAGCCAGCCTACCTTTTCCTTACCTAGGATCAGCCCTATTTAATATGGCCTGACTGCATATAAAGTGGAAGTTGTAATACAGTGCCTTGGGCTGAGATCCTGGTTTTTGTTGTCAAGGTCTTCTGTCTCTGAAGACCTACGACTTAATCTTCCTACGACTCAGTTTCCTATCTTTTGGAAAAGAAAAAAAACTCAAGGTTTATTAATTTTATTGGTTTAGCGGAAGTCCAATCAAAATCTTGCTGGCTATATTTTAGACATGAATAGTTATTTAGTAGAAATAGTAGTAATACTGTAGTTGTTTCTGGGTGTAAGCAATTTTCATTTTCTTAAATATTTTTTACCTAGATTCTAAAATTTCTGTAATGAGTGCATTAATATTTTTTATAATCAGAAAAAACTGAACATAAAAAATGAAAGACTAAAGGAATATATACTCATTTGGTAATGGTGGTTGTATTAAGGTTGGAATTAGGAATATAGGTGGGTTTTTCTTCTCTTTTGGAATATTGTATAATATAACCGTATTACTTTCATGAAGGAATCCCTGATTGGCACAAACAGTTAAGCGCTTGACTACTAGCCAAAAGGGTGGCAGTTTGAACCCACCCGGAGGCACCTTGGAAGACAGGCCTGGCCATCTGCTTCCGAAAGGTCACAGTCTTGAAAACCTTCTGGAGCAGTTCTATTCTGCATGCATGGGGTTGATGTGAGTTGGAATAAATTCAACGGCAACGAACAACAACAACCCCAAAAACCATTTTCTCAGTGTTCATTGCAGTATTATTTATAATACCAAAATGCTGGAAGCATCGAGGTTGGTTAAATAAATTACGGTATATCCACATGGAAGAGTACTAATACAGCTGTCAATGAATATGTTAATTCTTTCTGTACTGACTTGGAAAGATGTTTGAGCTATGTTGTGGAGTGGGTGAAGAAAGCAATTTTCAGGAAATATATGAGGTGTATGAACTCTTGTGAATGTGTATGTGTGCATACACATGTATGTAGAGAAAATTTCTGGAAGTGAGACTGGGGAATGAGAGAATGGGGAAAATAATTTTACCTTTTACCTTCATGGGCAATAACATGGTATAATGGTTAAGAGCACAGACTCTGGAGTCAAGGTTTTACTCAACTGTACCATTTATAAATTATGAGATCTTGGGCAAAATCCCAGCCTCTTGGTATCTTACTTCCCTTATCTGTAAAGTGGGGAGAATAATAATACCTAAGTTTCTTGTGATTATTGGATAATATATGTATGGCATATAGAACATATAGTACATATAGAACATAGAGTACATAACTAAACATTTAATAATGTTAGCGGTTATTATTATTCCCTTCTGTTTGGATTTTATACAATAAACATGCTATTTTTCATAATAAATAAAAAATATACATGTTCTGTCAATCTGCAGACATTTTCAAATTGATTTTTAGTTTTCAGTTTTCTCCTGGTGTTTCTTCTCCCCCCACCCCCTCCAAAGGAAAAGACCAACAGCAGAAAGCTGCCTTTCTCATTCTTGGCTACAACAGTGGGACTTTGGAAACTTGTTTCACCCTGAAGAAACTTCTAGTTCCTCTCAAATTCAGGATCATACAATAAAGTCCTCTGAAGACAAGACTTCTAAACCCTCTTGTAATGGAACCTGTAGTGATCGAGAAGACAAAGAGAATATTCCAGAGGATAGCAGCACGGTTTCCAAAAGATTTCGATTTGATGACTCATTGCCCTGTCCCCAGGAACTTGTTTCAGATTTGCTCTGTTAGCACTTTTCCCTTTGACTCATTGAGACTGAATTTGGAATTTTAAATCCACTCCAGTGTGTGGTTATGGTTTGTAGTTTCATATATGGCATGTTTATATTGTAAATGCATTATTGCATAGAAGAATTTAGGTAAGTGCATTTATGCTGAATTATTAGTTTCAAGCATAATTTTATTTCCTATCCTGAAATATCAACTCTGCAGAGAGGAAAATATTTAAATATATGACAAAAAATAAAATTGTATATGTGAGTTTACATGTTAATGATAGAATTCAAGTTCAAATCAGTTTATCAAAGTGTTTTACATATCAGAACAAAAAATGGTTTGGGTTATATTATGGTGAATGTAAACTGAACAAAATGAAGACATTTTAATACTTTTTTTTTTTTTTTTTGCCTAAGCTGAGTCCTATACCATGCCTCTATTGACAGAATTTGTTTAAGCAAACAGTGTCAAGTTTAAGTCAGAGTATATATTGTATTCTAGATGCTGAAGAGACATTTTAGAATTGAAAATGTTTTTTAATCTCAAGTATTTTGAAACTGCGTAAGATTTCCATTATATACAGTCTGCTATGTGAGAGAGACCCTGTGACCAGAGCAAAGAAGGTGTTAGAAACCTGACCACGTTAGAGTACAGAAAAGGGTAGCATGTTTTCATTTTTTAACCCAAATGTCTTTTGCCTGCTTTCAGCATACTTCAGGTTTAATAAGTTCTGGAAGATAGAGAATAGACAGTATGTAAGTGTAAAGGTTTTCTGTCTTCCATGGTTTCTTTCTGGAGAAGAGAAGATACTTAGGTAAAATTGAATGTGCTCTATTTTAGTCAGCCAAGCATATTAATTGAATATGAAAATTAATTATTATCACTATTATCAATAATTGATATTAACATTAAAAGAACATGTTGACAGACGTATGCAGCTTACAGAATTTTTGATGTCTTCTAAGTTTTAGAATATAAACCAGTCATTCAGAGTTCTAAAAGTGTCCATAAAAATATCACAGCACCAGTAGGGCTATTAACACAGTGCTAGAGTCAGCAGTCACAAGGTTGATGTGATCATAAAACATGATGACATCAAGCTGTTCTAGAGTGCTTATGCAAAATTCCTAGTGAGTGATGAGGATTAGCATAAGGCCATCTGCAGAGTAGCCTATAAGGATGGTCTTTTACTGGGACCAGTGCAAAAGAGCAGAACGTTTCATCAGTTAGCTAATGATTCAGTTCATTAATGGGAGGGGAAATTTACTTCCTGGGGAATCTTTGATGAATTTCTACTTGGTGACTATCACATAGTCTTTTGTATTATCATATAATTGTGACCTCATGACCATGTTACTATGTCAGAAGAAACTATATTTTGACAAAAAATACCTGAGCGTTCCCCTTTGATTCGTTCCCCTTTGATTCATATATTATTTTAAAACCTTTAACTTCTTGAAATTTTGACAAAACTTCAAATTCTTTAAATTGAAAACAAAACTTTTTATTAATCATCAGGTCAATTTATTTGGCTAAATGGCAAATTCCTTTAACATCTTTAGCAAGTTGTGTGTGCATATGTGTATATATATGTACAGGTTCATGTATATATGTGTAGATAAAATACAGTCTTTAGACAACTTTCTCTTAGAGATTCTTTAGTATATTGTGCTCAACTCAGGTGCCAAAGAGCTCTCTTCTTATTACATGTAAATATGCATTTAAATTCTTTAAGAAGCAGTTTTTTCGTCCAATAAACTAGCCATTGAAGAAGCAATTTAGGGCACTTAATTTTGAACTGATGAGTTGTTTCTAAATTGTCAGTTGTCCATTTATTTGCCTTCAGTATTAAGATAATGCAGGTAAAGCTTAGCAAGTCAATGGAGAATGAGAAAATAATTACTTTCCCAAAAGATCATATTATACTTCTAAATTGCTAGAGGTATTATACCCAAAACTAAGAATCAGGAAGTATTTGAATTTTGAATTATAAGCTATTTTATAAAACATATTTTATACCAGCTTTCTTTTTCTCTGAAGAATCTTAAAATAGTTTACATGCTTCCCCTTAGTTAATAGAATGCACATTCTATATTTCCAAATTTCCATACCTTTTTTCCTAACATTTTATAGTTTTATAGTAAAAAAAAAAAAAAAAAAACTAGTGCTTGCACAAATGTTATACAAACCAAGCCTTTTCATAAAGTTGAAATGTGAAAATACATTCAACCAATCTTTAAAGATAATTTAACAAATAAATTTTTATTCTTTTTCTCTCAGGATTAAAAAAAATGTGTATCTAGAGACCCCCTCTTAAGTGAACAGATATCAATAATGATTAAACTCATCTGAAGATTAATGTTAAATTATGTGAATTTTATAAAGTTTGATTAGGACTGGGTCCCTGGATAGAATGAAAAATAGACGATGTATAGATGACAATTAAAATTGTCATTTTAATTTTTTTTTCCCCACTGTAAAGTTAACCTAACTCTAAACAGTAAAACTATAGTGGCACTTTAAAGAAGTGAGCAGTACCTATTCTCCAGTCTGTAGAGAGATAAGGCACTTGTGCCAGAATGAAAATCAACACATTTCTTCCTTTATCAGGAAAGTCTTGTGATGAAAAAGTCAGCCGAACCAGTGTAATTCGTCACATAATTGATTTTCATTCTGGCACAAGCTGCTTTTTTTCATTTTGGACTGGTCACAAATAGCTCACGGACCATACTTTGAATAGACTTGCTCTCAGCAACATTTATAAATGTTTTATAACTGTTTACATTTCTTCTGTTTATTTTTGAGTTTGCAGTTTAATATCTGACTTGGAAGCATGTCCTTGTTAATTGCTGTATAAACAATTGTACTTTAATTTCAAAACTGTGTTGAAATTAAGTTATCTGACATTCCAATTTGGAGGATTATTATCAATTTTTATAATTTTATAAAAGTATTTTAAAGAATTTTAACTCTCATTTTAAGTTTTACACAAATTACAACCATCTTAACTTTCATTAAATAATCATGTTGCTTAAGGCATATAGAGAGACATTATTATGAATACACCAGTAAACAAACTGTTTATTATATCAACTTATTCTTTTGGTTGAAAATTAAAAGGACTTTTTTTTACATTTGTGGTTGTCTTTTGTTTGAAAGTATTTGTAAATTTGTTATTCTGAAAAGCTTGCCTGGAAACCCTGGTGACATAGTGGTTAAGTGCTACAGCTGCTAACCAAAAGGTCAGCAGTTCAAATCCACCAGGTGCTCTTTGGAAACTCTATGGGGCAGTTCTACTCTGTCCTATAGGGTCGCTATGAGTCGGAATCAACTCGACGGCAGTGGCTTTGGTTTTTTTGGTTTAAAAGCTTGCCTGGAGGTTCTAGCCCTTGACCCAGATCATCTTTGAGCTCCCTTTCCAATACAGATATGTTTATTAGATTCTGTCCATTGGAAAAGGTACATAAATTTTAAGGCAAACATATATTCTCTGGCAATAATAGACACTTTTAGAAAATGTTAATGAATGACATTGTGCTTACTGTTGTACAAAGATGCATAAGGGATTCTTCAAGAAGCTTAAAATCTGGTTGTGGAATAAGATACATGATAAAATTAGAAAATCACCATATAAGAGATAGGAAGTGTGATGTGAGAGACATGGTGTGCAAAACTAGACAATTAATTGAATGTATAAGAAGGAGAAATGGATATGTGTTAGAAATTTTTAACTGAGCAATTCCCTTTCAGGTTCCATGTAGGCATTTATTGCTGTAAGTTTCCCTCTGAGTACTGCCTTTGCTGCATCCTATGAGTTTGGTGTGTTGTGCTTTCACTTTCATTTGGCTCTAAGAAGTTGTGATTTCTTCCTTGACCCATTGTAGTTTAACAGTGTGCTGTTTAATTTCCATATGTTGTGTGTATTTTCCAGGTTTTTTTCTGTTAATTGATTTCTAGCTTCACTCCATTGTGGTCAGAGAAAATATTTTGTATGATTTCAGTCTTTTTAAATTTATCAAAACTTGCTTTGTGACCTAAAATGTGATCTCTTAGAGAATGGTCCATGTACACTGGAGTAGAATATATATTGTGCTGTTTTTGGGTGAGTGTTCTATATTTGTTTAGTCTAGTTTATAGTGTCATTGAGGTCCTCTGTTTCCTTGTTGATCATCTTTCTAGATGTTCTGTCCAGTATTGGGAGTGGAATATTGAAGTCTCCAACTCTTATTGAGGTGCTATTTACTTTTCCCTTCAATTCTATCAGTGTTTGCTTTATATATTTAGATGCCCTGATGTTGGCTGCGTATGTATTTATGACTGTTAAATCTTCTTGATTAATTGACCCTTTTATCACTATATAATATCCATCTTTCTCTCTTGTAACAGATTTTTTCTTAAAGTCTACTTTGTCTGATATGAAGATTGCCACCCTAGCTCTCTTTTGGTTATTATTTGCATGGAATATTTTTTTCTATACTTTCACTTTCAACCTATTTGTGTCCTTGGGTTTAAGGTGTGTCTCTTGTAAACAGCATATAGTTGGATGATGTTTTTTAATCCATTCTGCCACTCTGCCTTTCAACTGGAGCATTTAATCCATTTACATTCACTAATTACTGATAAGAAGTGACTTAGTTCTGCCATTTTATTTGTTTTTTGTGTGTTTTAAGTCTTCTTTGTCTTTGTCCTTTAGTACTGCTAGCTTTAGTGTTTTGTTTCTCCTTTCTTTTTGTTTGTGTGTGTTTTTTTTTAAAAATATATTTTCTTAGTTGTTACCATTTTTAACAGCTTGTGTTTATAACATTCTATGGTAAGTTGTTACCAACTTAACTTCAGTAATGTACAAAAAATTCTATATACCATTCCTTTCCCCCCACCTTTCACTGTTATCACTGATTACATCTTTATACACCCTGTGCCCTGTAATAAAATTTCATCTGTGCTTATTATGTATTATTAAACATGAAGAACAAAACATTTAGAATTATCAAGTGTCCTAGGCTGGGTTCCATAGAGAAGCAAAACCAGTAAAGCATATAAATATACATATAGAGAGATTTATATCAAAGAAACAGCTCATGCATTTGTAGAGTCTGGAATGTCCCAAGTCTGTGGATCAGGATAGAGGCTTCTTCCAATTCACGTAGCCACAGGGGCTGGTGGACCCAAGATCAGCAGGTCGGAAAGCAGGACTCCACTCATAGGCTGTGAAGATTGATGAATCCCAGGATTGGCAGATAAGCTGATAGCTCAAGTCCCAAGAACTGGAGGCCAGATGAACAGGAGGAAGCTGCAGGATCCAGAGCGAGCAGAAAGCCAGAACAT